CTTGACCTGGTTGATTGTTGGGCTGCAGGGTGGAGCGGTGGTTGGCATTGTTGCAGCTTGAAGGTCGCCGGTTCACATCCCGGTGAGCCCGGTGAGTTTGCATGTTCTCTCCGGATTCTCCAGCTTCCTCCCACAGTCCAAAAACATGTTGAGGTTAATTGGTGATTCTAAATTGTCCGTAGGTGTGAATGTGAGTGTGCTTGGTTGTCTGTCTCTAAGTGTAGCCCTGTGATAGACTGGTGACCTGTCCAGGTGAACCTGCCTTCACCCAGAGTCAGCTGGGATAGACTCCAGCCCCCCATGACCCTAATGAGGATTAAGCGGTGTATCGATGATGGATGGGTGGTTAATTGTTGCAGCTATTTTAATTAAATTTTTTAAAAAAGTGGAAAAATAGTGAGAGCTTTCTTTCATAATTTCCCAACACCTACATTCAAATATGTAAATAGCTTGACTGAGCAACAGCCTGAAGATATTTTTATGTGCATTTGAGAAGCTGTAAGTGGTGAATTTTTTCTGAATCTTTTCTCCGTGTTGTAAAAGTCTTGTGGGATGTAGTTAATTATAGGAACAAGCAGCAAACAAACAAACACAGACTCTAACTTTATTAGCATTTTGCCAGCAGTACACGTTGAAAACCTTTTGTTAAAATGTAGTTTGGCGGCACAGTAAAAGCTGGAGGTTAATTCCTCTCGTGCCGCTCAGTCCTGCTCACCTGGAGCTGCTGCTTTTCCTCCTCCTGCGCAGCGTCAGCTTCCTGCTTCCTGCTCAGCTGATTGGCTGCAGGCCGGTTGCCGAGTCACATGGTGCGATTGGGGCTGCAGCCCGTCCTCCGCCTGCCTCGTCCGCTCGCCCGACTTGATGTTTTCTTTTCTGCACGTGAGCCGAGCTGTGAAACCCGAGGCAGCTCTGGACAAGTCTCCACCTGGAGCAGCTTTTATACTGAGCTGGTTCTTGTCTCTGTATCACTGCACCATCAGGGCTCGTGTTGAATCAGTCACACCCACCAGTTTCATTTCTGCATTTTTCACAGACGCATGCTGCGACTTCAGTCGGTGTTTCTGTAATTATTCAGCTGAGGGACGGTGCAGTTTCAGCCTGCAGAGATTTATTAGGCAGCTCGCTACAAGTGCTGCCGAAGCGCTCAGTCATAATCCTCTTAAGAGTGTGTGTGTTTGTGTGCGTGTGTGTGTGCAATGATTACAAAGCAAAGAAAGTCAGGATGGAGTGGCGAGGATTGTCGGGGAGTGTGCAGAGCAACACGCTGAAATAAACCTGCATCCTTCAGCAAATATGTGCATAACAACAGAATCCAGTTTGCCTACCACACCTATGAGTGTTTAATCACAGAGGAGCTGATTATGTGCGATAAAGCTGCAACGATTAATGGATTAGGTGTCAGCTATGAAGTTAATCACCAACTATTTTCATAATTGAGTCATCGGTTTGAGCAATTCTCTGATTCCAGCTTCTTAAATTGCAAAAAACAAATCCGTCAGTAGAAGCTCATCAGAAGTCTGTTTTGATCATCAGTAATCAGGTTTTAAGTATTTTAAGCTATTGAGTGATTCTGATTTGCTTCGTAAACGTGAATATTTTTGGGTTTCTTTTGTCAGTAAACAGAATATTTTTAGGTTGTGAACAAAACTAAACATTTTGTCATGTTGTGCTTTGAGAAACTTTTTTCATAGTTTTATTTACCCAACAGCTTATGGATTAATCACAAGAGTAAAAAAAGATTTGTTAGATGAAGCCCTAATCAATAAAAGGACTAATTGTTCTTTAGATTGTCATTCAATTTGCTAATTTATTTTCTTGAAAATAATTTTCTTTCAAAAAACAGTTCCCACTATAATTCCAGAGAACCTAAAGTAACATAAGCAGCTTGTTTTGTTCATTTTCTGACTTTTTATTGACCAACAGTATAAATAATAATCGATTAACTGTAAAAATAATTGACAGAATATTTGACAAAGAAGGTGTTTATGAATTTGTCATCAAAAATAAAGCTTGTTTTGTTCATTTTATGCCATTTTATTGACCACAAATATCAATAATAATCGAATAATTGTGAACATTATCAACAAATAAATTGGCAAAGAAAATAATTGTTAGTTAGAGCTCTAACTGAGAAAACGCTGACAGCTAACGGTTACTTTAATTGTCATTTGATCTGCTTATCGTTTCCTTAAAAAAAGGAAAACAGCAGAAATAGCAACAGAAAACGGTTCCCGCTATAATTTCCATGAAGCTGTAGCAACATAAATAGCTTGTTTTATCTGTTTTCTAACTTTTTTTTAGAAATTAATCGAGAAAATATTCTGTATGTGCTGCGTTATAGTCACACTGAGAAGAGTTATTATGGGAGGCTGTGATCATAAGTAAGGATATTTAAGATCAGTGTTATCTTACTGTTCTGTATTTTGTAATTGTAGTAGATGATTCCTGCTCAAAATGACAAAATAGCACAGTTATACCAGACTAAAACTGTATTCTGTACTTTCTGTGTCATATTTTAGTCCGTTTTTCATGATACAAAGCCAGATAGATGCGAGTAAAGCTAATAAATGATGATAATAACACTAATCTGACAGCGAGCTCGGCTTTAATCTACAATACTTGAAGTCTTTCGGAGCTTTTCCTTCCTGACAGACCTCATATCTGTCGTCTGTGAACCGCACACAGGCCACAAACCTCGGATCTTGATTGGACCTGTCAGCAGGCGGCAGGTTCCACGTCTGAGGTTTGCTGTGAACTTTTCATCACAGCTGCGCCAAAGTCTCTCTTTTTCCTGAAAGCACCTGAAGCGATGACTCCTCAGTTTTCTGCAGCTCTCCAAATGCTTCACTACATTTAATCTTTGTTTATGCAGCCCTTTCTGCTCCTGCTCCTGCTGCTGCTGCGACGCCGACTTCACCGAGTGTTTCAGAGCCACTGGTTCAGTCAAAGGCACCTTGAGGGTATTTTTTTCCCCCCCATTTTTTATTTATGCTCTCAACCAGAACCACCCAGACTCTCAAACCGAGACGCGTCCACTCAGAAACATGTGGTCTAACCTTTGTGTTTAGGAGCTGGGCATTGATTATAGAGGGAGGCGAATCACTGGTGGGCCCAGAAAAGGCTGTTTGCTGGCTCTGAGAGCAGAAAAGGACTTTGAAACTTGTGAAGGTTGTGCGATTGTCGCAGTAAGTCCGAAGCAGTGATGGAGTTCCCTTTTCCCGATCGTTCTGTCTCGTCTTTTTGTAGTTTTAAAGTACCGAACCCTATTACTGGTATCATCTCATCGCCTCAAGAGTAAATTATTTAGTTTTTTAAAGCACGACAGTCGGAAGATAAGTGGATGTTAATGTCAATAAGTTCAGTCTTTAGATGATAACAAGCTGCTTTTAGTTTCTGGATTTAGAAAATTAATTTCTTTCCTCTTCAATTAGAGCCAGATGTTCGTTAATCAGGAAGACAGATTTAGTCACTCAGAACATTGAAAACAACAGTGCCGAAGTGCTTTCCAATTAAAAAGATTATGATTGGCATTATGAATTAGTCTAACAAACTTAAGTGTTGGGGTTATTTATGGTGGGACGTCACCTGAGGAGTGATTAAAACCAGACAAAAGTATGTATGAAAGCACCACTTTGCCTCTAAAATACACAGTGTCTTTATGAAGGAGACTCACCTAGCGAATGTAGTAGTGGAGCTGAGACCCTACAGTAATATTAATTACAGAATTTAACTTAACTATTCTAAATATTAAGGCTCAGATCCTGCTGCATTATTAGTTATGAAGGTTTATCTGATGAGTTTAGAGCTAAAGTTTTGACTCTACTAAAGTATAAACACAAAAACCCAACAAATCCAAGGATTTCCAGGAGCCCTTATAAGCTAGCTTTGATTTTATTTTAATTTTATATGGTTTGTTTAGTTTTATTTTCTAATAGTTTATGCATTATGCTATTATTTTTGATTAGTGCTGCCCACTTAATGTCACACTGCTTTGTGGAGTATCCCGTTTGTAATCATCAAATACAAGTCCCAAATCATTTCCTATACAACCTATAGTAAAACAGCCCGTTTATTGTCATAGAATAATGTCATAATCCCGGTTTTTATCGCAATTTCCTGAAGTTGATTCCAGGAATAAGTTTTGCCCGTTTAAAGTCGCGGTCGACTGATCGGGCCGAGCGTCGGTCATGCGTGGCAGATTATCACACCCCGGTCAGCCGTGGAAGGCAATGTGTTTGTTTGTCAGTGACCTGCTCACCTGAGATCTGATCACCGAGTTATTCACACTGTCTGACATTAATTAGGACACATTAAAAAGAATCACATTGTTGCAGAGCATGTTGTCACTCAGTTGTCGCTCAGCTAGTTAATCATGATAAGTTCATCCTCTGTTTACCCTCTGATTAAAGGACAGAGCTTCTATTGATGGGGTGACTTTTTGTACCGACAAAGGGGAAATTTCACTGAAGCAAAACCATAAAGCTGAATAATTGAAAACTTTATTTCCCAAATACATGCTAAATACGTCCGATATAGGCCATGTAGATCGTGCTGGTCCAGTACATCAGCTAGTGTTCACACCCAAACTCGCCGCCATCTTGAAGCCCGCTTATTGGAATATCCCGGATGTAGTCATAATTCCATCCTGGACCGAGGGTTTGACAATAAACGGGCAGCACTGTGTGTTTAATTTGCAACCGTGGAGAGGAACAACTCCCTTGTTACAGAGAGAGACCTCCAGCAGAACCAGGTTCAGGGAGGGTGGATGTCTGCCCCACCTAGTCGGGGTCTGGGTGGGGAGGGTAAAGGGGAGGGAGAACAGGATAACAGAGACAAACCCAGACAAGAGAACATAAACACTGACCCGACTGGCGGGACAAGTACACCGAAATCAGACCAACATCCAGAACTCCATGTTTTGGTTTTGGTCTTAATTCTGTTTGTTTGTTATAATAAACTGTAAAGTGGAGTAACGTGTTGTTGTTGTTGTTCACGTGCAGGATGCGTGAGGACATGTCCACCATGGTGTGCGTGAAGCAGGAGGAGGATCCTGGAGAGAAGCTGTCTCAGGATGAGATCATCTCCAGGACCAAGCAGGTGATCCAGGGGCTGGAGGCCCTGAAGCAGGAGCACCACTCCATCCTGGAGGGCCTGCTGGGGACGCTGCGGTGCCTGAAGCAGGACGAGGAGGGCGTCCTAGTGGAGGAGAAGTCGCACATGATCCGCAAGTCCCTGGAGATGCTGGAGCTCGGGCTGAGCGAGGCGCAGGTGGGTGTGCAGAGCTTCAGACATGTTCTCTTATGCACTGGAGATCCAGCAGGTCTGCTCCAATCTTCTTTGACACATTTTTCTGAATAATATTTGATCTGGTTTTCTTAAATAATTGCAACAAAGAAGGTAAAGTATTATTTAAAACAAACAAAAAAAATATTAGGATTGCACATTTGAAAGAGGAATGAAAACAAACTGAAGTTTTTAAACATTTAAGCCTTTTCTACACTGTACACTCAGCATTAAAAAAGAGGTTTTGTTTTTTACCTGGTGTTTTGCAGATTTTTCTTGTTCTGGTAAATTGCAGATAATATCTAGTGAAATCAAAAAAATAAAAATAATAGTTTACATGTTGATTATTTCAAAAACAAACCAAAACTGTACATTATGTCCAGATGACTGTAAAATTACACTGTGTACTGTATCTAAATGAGTAAAAAATATCATTATTTTGCAGATATTTTCCATTATTTTCTCAGTTTTTACAGTTTGTGAAGGTCACAGCATCCCTGAGGTTTTTTTTTTCTGGCATCCTTGCAGCCAGACAAAATCTGGTGCAGAATAATTTTGGTAAATTTTTAAACAAGACACAGAATTAATTGCTTTAAATTAAAATATCCCAGTTCTAAGCCTACTTTTGGTTATTTATCCCTGATGCACTCGTGTTGCATGTAAGAGCATCTAAATAAAGCTTAAATATCAGATCTTTTTTTTTCCTGTTTTTACAGTTCCTGGCTCTGATAAATGGCGGAAAAACCGGCGGGCAGGTTTTGGAGTTCAGTGTCATATTTCTCTCTGTTAATTAAAGACCTTGTAAATTCACAGAACAGTTCATTCTAATGTATTCATGTCCCATTTATAGTAATCTGCATAATCTGTGTAGCTATTCAACGAACATATGTGCAGGTACATGCAAAGTCTGGCTCGTTTAACCCCCGCTGGTCGTTCAAATTAACCACAGATGCGAGACGTCTGTGGCGCATAAGAGCTACCGAACAATTTATTCATTCACCCCACGCTGACTTGGAGGACAGCAGGTGAACAAGCTGCTTTTACCTGGATGACAGACTAAAAGATGCTGCTTTAAAAAAACAAATAACAAAAATGCTGCTCGTGTGGACTGACCTCTGCTTGACTGCAGCTTGTCTCGCTGTTGTAATACACATAATAACAGAGCAAGAAAACAAAACATTTACAGAACTTCCAATGTGAAGTAGCTCAGTTCACAAACCACAATGCCTTTCAGAGAGACGCGATTCTCTCTGCTTTTGAGTTTGAATCTCCCTCGGTACGTGCAGCGTTCTAAGATCACAGCTTTTAACGAGGCGCAGTTAATGTCGTGCCCTAAACAAAGACAATAGGAGGTTCTGCAGCCCGTAAAAATGCAGATCTGCAGGCAAAGTTTGAAAACTAACAACTGCTGGTGTCGTCGTTCGCTTGGCAAACACTGAGTCAGTGATGAGTCACCGTCGATGCTTTCATCTCCCAGCGGACTCTCTATTAAATATACAATTCACTGCACGTACACTATGCAGGCTTTAATTTCTACCTCCGGCTTTTTTTGCTTGCTTGTGTCATTTTCTGTCATTTTGCGGCTCAAACACCCGAACGTTTCTACGCTGTCGACCTTTTGTCCCGTGACATCAGCGTACACAGGTTTAGTAGTTGTAGTACTTGCACTTGTGAGCTGCAGATAATCTTGAAAATCGCAGGAATTGAAAGGTTTTGGTATCAATAAATACATAAATAAAATAAAGGCTGCAGGGAGGACAAACTGAAGTTAGTGGAAAAAGTGTTAAGAGTGATTTCTAAGCAGAAAAAAAGGACTGAAGGAGTGGAGAAAGCAAAAAAAAAATGTGCAAAAACCTCAACCCTAAGTCACAGAGATGCTTATTTTGCACGTAATAAAGGACTTGTTGGTAATTTGTCGTGGAATTTGTAAAGGAATTAGGATCACAGACAACCGCAGCAATTATTGTAAATGACTAGAGATCTCCAGGTACACTGTAAAAAATATGCATTTTAAAACAATTTCTTACTTCAGTCTTTAGTTTGCAGTTTATTTTGACTTTACTAATTTGTAAATAATCAGAAATCTGTATTTTTTTGCAAATAGCAATGTCTTCTTTTACAACATGTGACCATAAAATTACGCTTTTGTCAGTTTTTAAATGTTGTATAGTGTAGTCTCGTCCAAATCGTGAATATGGTTGCAGTTTGTGTTCAAGCTCAGGGAGTTGCTGTCTGATTAAAACCCCGCCCTCTCTGCCCAGGTGATGATGGCGCTGTCGAGCCACCTGAGCTCGGTGGAGTCGGAGAAGCAGAAGCTCCGGGCTCAGGTCCGCCGGCTGGGCCAGGAGAACCAGTGGCTGAGGGACGAGCTGGCCGGGACCCAGCAGAAGCTGCAGAAGAGCGAGCAGAGCGTCGCCCAGCTGGAGGAGGAGAAGAAGCACCTGGAGTTCATGAACCAGCTGAAGAAGTACGACGAGGACCTGTCGCCCTCTGTGAGTTATCCTGCAGAACACACGGTCGAATCCTCGCGTACAGGAAGTCATCAACACCGCATGACTTGACCTTTCTAACGATGCTGGTTTCTTATCTGTGTGTCAGCAAGAACAAATAGATCAGAATTGACATCAGGTTTAATCATAGTTACAACCTGCACCCGTGACTCTGGTTTGAATTACTCATGAGCCCGTCGCATACATCCATTAATATCTAGTTACATCAATATGTAATATAGCTGCGTGTGATGTTTGTTTTTTCTTTCAGTGAAGCGTGCAAATGTCAAAAATTCATTCATTAACCTCATGAAATAACACTTAAGCATTCAGGGAGAGGCTGCTTCACTTAAACGATTAATTTTCTGTAAGTTCAACTGCATTTTGAGATCGTTTGTGTCTGAGCCAGCACCAACATTATACCCACCACGTTTCCAAGACACTCCTTTAAGTTTTACATTCTGATGCAGCTTCTCTCCCACTGATTCCTGCAAGTTCAGGCTTTTTACTGATTTTTTTTTTTTTTCCAACTCCGAACACCTTATCAGCAGCAGAGACGAGCGAAAGCTATCAATACAGACGATCCCCAAGTATTTTAAGCACTTTAAAATATGCATGACTGGACCCAGACTGCAGAGCGACCGCATCAGCAGATAAGTTGGCGATGTTCAGATTCAGTTACTTCCTTTTATAATCTCTCCTCCTCTTTCTTCTCTCTCAGGAGGAGAAAGATTCTGACTCCAGCAAAGAGAATTTAGACGATCTGTTCCCAGATGACCAGGATGACCAGGCTCCAGGCAGTAAGTGTTCCACCGTCTTTATCTTCCATCTGCTCGCTCTGAGGGATTCTCGCACACTTTCAACCCTGGATCCAAATATGAAGTATAGTTCCTGACCTTGGGATGCAGCAGATGTAACTGATCTCAAATCGCCGGGGTCCTCCTGCTCGAGGATCTCTGATTTGATTGAAACGTTTTTTTATTTAAAGTAGTATCTGTCCATTTTTTTAGACTGAAATATCTACACTTTCCAAGATAGTGTTTTTTGAAAATCGCCCGGCGACCCACTTTCAGCACATTTTATTGCAGAATGAAATTTTACGCTGTTTGAACGACAAAATCTCAAGAACATTTAGAGATAAACGCCTGAAACTTTCACTGGTATTTCTCATCAGTTATGAAAGTTAACTGAAAATGACTTTCTTTTCATTTTTGTGACCAAGTGATTCATATTAGAAGGTATTTTATATGTTTTATTTTATATTATTGTAACATGCAGCTACATGCGGGTCAGAAAACATCCCTAGTTGACGTCTGCATCATTCATGTTTTTGTTAACATGAGCTCAAAGATGATCATGACGGCTTCATTTTTTCATATTTTAACTCCCCATAATCCGAGACTAATTGACCTACTTGTCAAATATTGATCGATTCTGAATCAATGACATGATGAGAAATACCAGTGAAAATTTCTGGTTTTTATCTTGAATAGTTCCTAAGATATTGTCGTTCAAACAGCCTTCAAATTTTAATGTGAGGAAAGAAAACGTGCTCAAAGTCGGTTGACTGTGAATTCAAAAGAAAAAAAATTCTTAAAATATTTGATGCATCGAGCCAAAATTTCGCAGCGATCTTTACAAACATCCATATTTTATGCTCTACAACGTTCAGGCAAATCAGAGGTGGTTGAGCAGAAATTGTTAAACTAAAGATTTCAGATGGAATAACCCAAAAGTTTCTGCATCTATAAAAAACAGAATTTTATGAGTACAATTAAAAATATTCAATAAACTGCAGACTCCTCAGTGTTGAGACTTTAAAGACTGTGACATGTTGTTTTTTTCGGCAGCAGTAATTTAGAAAACTGTCGCTGCTGAAATACTGAAACCTGCTTTCGGAACAATCTCTGCAGCAGCACCACTCCTGTAATACTCCACAGTCTAGTCAGTGCTTGTCCCCAGAGTCCCAATGCATCATGTGATGGATGGTGGCGAGTTCCTCCTGCGACTCACCGCTCCTCTGAACTTTCCTTAAGTCTCACAATATAAATCTTGATTTCTTCATTTATTTCACTAGTTACACACTCTCTGTCTCGCCACGTCGCTCTCTCGCGCTCCAATTTTTCTCCCACTCCCCGTGTCCATCCCTGCCCCCGGTGTTTGATGGTTCGGCCTCTCAATAGCTCAGGAGTCCAGACAGTAAAGCTGTGTTGGCTGTAAAGGCCCATTAGTCAGGACCTAGTTCGGCCTGGACAGAGGCCAAATGGGGAGAAAACCCTCCCCACCACTGTGGTGTTAAACACTTTCAGTTTTTCTTCTCCAGTCTTTTTTTTTTCTTTTGTGGCTGTCGGGTGAAATAATGCGGTGCAAAAGATCACAGTAGTGTTTTGCTGTGAGCTGACTTTCAACACAAGTCTGATCTGCAGGCAGTCACAGTAACTCATGGACATGTACAGGAAACTTTGAGTTGTGTAAAGTGATTAAAGGAAGCCTTAGTTCGAGCATTCATCCAAAAATATAACTGAGAGAGTTTTTCCTCGTAGTTTACAAAAAACCTGCAGCATCAGACGGCAGCAGGATCCACATGAGCGTCTTCAAAGCAAGAAAGTTGCATGCATTGGTAACTTCATTAACTGCTTGTGTTTATAAATAATCACCAGCATTGACACGGGATTCGTCCGGATCAGGAACAGTCACACACAGAATCAGTTTAGTTTGTTGCTTCTGGTTGTTCAGGACTATTTCCTCTGAGTTTATTAAATACCTGCAGCATCAGATGGCAGCAGGATCCAAATGAGCGTCTTCCAAGCAAGAGAGCTGCATGCATTTGTAACGGTTACTTCATTAATTACATAAATTATCCCCAACACAGACATGGGATTAGTCCGGGTCAGGATCCAGCAGCATCCGGCGTCACACACAGAGTCACGGTTTAGTTTGTTGCTTCTGGTTGTTTCAGACTATTTCCTCTGAGTTTATTAAATACCGGCAGCATCAGACGACAGCAGGATCCATACGAGCGCTTCTGAAGCCGAAGAACTGAACAGCAATAACTTCATTTATTAGTTCTAAATTTAAATTATCCCCGACATGGAGACGGGATGGATCAGGGTCTAACCGCATGGTTCAGTGTTCCTTTGTTGTTTTTAAAGTAATTGTTAGAATATCATCACACGTGGACAGAATCAGCTGTTTTTTGACATCTAATTCAAAACATATTATAACTGGAACTGCAACTACATGAACAATTGTTTTACTGTTGTTATTGTCCAGATTTAACAATTAATCATTTGTTTTCTAAAAAGCGGAGCTGCAAGAGCTAATCGCCAACCATTACTTTTTATTAAAATGAAAGAAGAAAAATCTAAATTCTCTGATTCCACCTTCTTAAATGTGAATATTTTCTGGTTTCTTACAAGTACAAGTGATAGATTAGTCAGGAAAATAATCAACAGATAGATTTAGAATGAAAACAATGGTGAATAACGTGTCAGAAAATGCCTGTCATAGTTTCCTGCAACTTAAATTGCTGCACTCGGTTTGCTTGATTTGTCTGATCAACAACCTAAAAATGTTTAGTTTATGATTACAGAGGACCAAAGACTAATTTTCTGTCAGTTAGAAAGTGTTGTCTGAAAAGAAACGTCCAGAAACACACTCTACTCGAGTGACAAACAAACGTCCGATCCCAACAAAAACAACTTGTTTTTTAGCACCTCTTTAGCACCACGGTGACCCCCATTTGGCTCCTGGCGCCAGTTTGTCAGCCAGTTTAAAGTGCCGACAACACGGACAGCAAACTGGTTCACACTCAGGCTGCGATCCACCGTCTGAGGCAGATGTTTACGCTCAAACCCTTCGTCTTTTGTTTAATTTAACCCACCGGCTGGAAATGTAGCTGCACAACGCGTTTGGTAGACGTGGTAAATATTTACACTTATTTCAGCCTTTTCAGATGGATTAAACATGTGTTGAATTACATTTAAACACTTTAGTTTCTAAGAATACAGCTTGATAATAAATACTCCCATCAAACGTGTATTCATCCGCTGATAAAACTGAACCTGTGCATGTGTTTTTAGGTTTTTATTTTAAGTAAGAAGAGACGGAAAGATCAAGAAACAGCGACGTCAGCTGCATGTTGTTGTGTACCGTCTGAGCAAACTCGATTTTATGTTGTTTTTTAAGTTAAGCGGCTCGTCCTCTCTGTGTCTCCGACCGTCCACACATGTTTCTGTGTGGACAAGGAATGTGTCTGGTGTCAACTCACCCACACTTACAGAATTTTGTGGGCGTAATTTTAGGTTACGGTCCAGATTTCTCCGTGTTTTTGGCCCAAATTGCGATTGCAGGGCAGGTTGTGGAGCAGAGGAAACGAAGAGGGTGTTTTTGGGATACTGTGTCCAAAAAAAAAAAAAAAAAAGATGTTTTTTCATGTTTTAGGTGGAAAAAGCAGCCTCATTATTTAGTAGTTTTTTTTTTAGCCTTTTCCCTGGCAGTGTGGTGGCAGAGTGTGTTCTGTGCTGCTAAATGAATTATGGCTGAGAGAGGGGAGTTGGGTGGGGAATAAGGCGAACGCATCGACTTTCCACGGCACAAATCACAATGAAAGAGGTGTCGCTTTAGAGGTCAATACTGCTTAACGATTCAAAAAAAAAAAAAAAATAGTGACAGTTCTCGTCTGCGTTATTAAGATGGTAATGTCAGTGTAAAGGGTAAATACATCAAATGTGTCCTGAAGCTGCAGAAAATTCTAATACGGGAGATTTATTATGAATAAATTGTGTTTATTTTGTCGACAGCAAAGGGCAGGTTCATTATCAGGCATCTTTGACTAGTAAACAGTTTTCAACTCAAGTAATTATACATTTTATGTGTTTGTTGCCTTAATATGTCCAAGATTGGCAGATTAATTCAGCCCCTTTCAGACGAACTTTCCATTAGTCTGATGGCGTCGGAATGTGGCAGCTTCACGTCTGAGTGAGCTGCTGTTGTTGGAACGAGTCGTATTTCTTTATCGCTGTCAGTAAGTCTGAACCACGTGCATCACAGCAGCTCGACACGAGCAAACGACGTAGAGCAGAAGACACAAAACGCCTCTCTCAATCATGTTTAAATGTCAACGCTGCTGGAAACTGCAGCGTCCATGAAGATAAAGAAGATATAAGAAGATAAAACTTAATTAATCCCAGAGGAACAGAAAAAAAACAAAAATACACAACACAATAAAAGCAGTGCCTCAAAAGTGGAAACTTGGTAAGATAAAAGTTCGATGCACTGCTGAAATAAGATAGGTAGCTTAAAAAAAGGCGGTAAAAAGTGAAGCTGGTAATTCTACTGAAATCACACATGATTAAAAATGAGGTGGAAATAGAATATTGGACAATTTTGGTTTGTTGCTTCCGGCTGTTCAGGAGTGTTTCCTCTGAGTTTATTAAATGTCTGCAGCATCGTACAGCAGCAGGATCCTCATGAGAGTCTCGCAGCATTAACGACAACCAGCATAACAACATTACCGTAATCTCCGGAGTATAAGCAGCTACTTTTTTCACACTGCGGCTTAAACAATGATGCGGCTAATTTATGGATTTTCATGAATTTGCCTCGAGACCAAAGTGACGTTGAGAGACACTGAGGAAGTGTGTGATGAAGTGATTCTGAGGCTGTTCAATTCCTGAAGACACTACAGAAGACGACTTTAGTGGTTTTCAGGAGGAAGATGAAGATGGCGATCAATGACTTTTCCTGGTAGGCTGCTGGAGTTTTTATTTTCTTAACCAGCCGTGTTACAGGCACTGTTTGGAAAAAAAATCATTTACGTATTTGTGTGTGTTACCGGTGTGTGTTTAATTAAAAGTTTAAAAAAATCTTTCTGTGTAAGCTTATAGACAAGTTAGTGGGTGTGGCTTATATTCAGGTGTGCTCAGTAGTCTGGGAATTACGGTATTTGCTTATTTTTATAAATGATCCCTCCATGGAGTCAGGATGGAGCTCACAGTTTATCAGCTGCAGGTTTAGTAAATCAGAAATGAACTCAACTTTTAGCTATTTGGACGATTTAATAAGCTGCTTCTAGTTTAGTCTTTTAATTAGACACGACTAGATGCACCGTCCTCGAATGCATCGCTTCACTAGAACAATGAAGCTGCAGCATTACGTAAAATTGGGAGTGACTTTTTGTTTGCTTTAGTGGCTTTTCAGATAAACACAGTACAAGAAAATGGGACGGAGAGCTTGTAGTAATGCAGTGATTACGCACCGTGATACACAAACATGCGACGCCCACACATTCCCTCATACGCCTACATCAGAGCTGACGGTAAACAGTCAGGTAGCCACATTTGTTGGTAGTTTACACAGGTTTAAAGGACTCAAAATGAGGGTAGAAGATAGCTTAGAGAAGAACATCTCTGCATCACATGAAGGTTAAAAAATAAACATGAGCAGCTTCACTGCAGTGCCGTGTGTGTTCTGAAAGAGAAAGCAGACTAGAACGGAGAGCAGATATTCCAAAAGAGAGAGATGCTGTGTGTTTATGGAGAGGCATCATTGAAGGCTTCAGTGGCATTAATCCCGTCTCGGCGTGGAACCGAGCTGCCTCGGGCTCCGTGGTGGATACGGGGGCTGACGCTCCACCAGATTAGATGCCTTTACTCCCCGAGCTCATTCACACTGCCTCAAAAGCTTTTTGGGGTTTTAGTAAATTACTGTCAGCGGGGAAGGAGATAATGGCGACGACAGCTCTACCTTTATTTGAACTGGCCCGAGGCTGACTTACAGTGATTTTATTTTTTTCTTTCCCTGTGCAAATATTTACATTTCAGTCGTTTAGCCTGACAAAAAAACACGAGCTTCTCGACCTGCAGCGTGTTGTGGCGTTTTAATATAACGGTCGGGAGTTTGAGTGGAGTCGAGCGGAGGCAGGTCGAGCTCCAGAAACGCTGCATCAAACACTTCCATAACGCTTACGTCTTCATACACATCAAGTGATGTGCAAAACTCTCTGGGTTTCAGGAGACTTTTCACACAAACATGAAGAGAACAATAAAATAAATGTCTTCTTTACTTTATGTTTAGTGTGCCGTGTGCACAACCTTGATTTGAAAGTTGCTAGCAGCAGTGCTAACTCTGTCTTTTGTGTATTTGGAATAAAAACTAGCTGCTGGGTGCCCCTGTGGCTCACCTAGTTGAGCGGGCGACCCATGAACAGGGGCAGAATCAGCTGTTTTTTGACATCGAATTGAAAAATTCTAATTCAGAAGACGTTATAACTGGAACTGCAACTACTTTAACAATCATTTTACTGTTATTATTATTGTGAAGATTTAAAAATTAATCATTTGGTCTGTAAAAAAATAGAGCTAAAGAAGAAAATGAAAATTCTATGATTTCAGCTTCTTAAATTTGAATGTTTTCTACTTCTTTCTTCATCTATGACAGTAAACTGAATCTGTTGAATCTGTGGAGATGCTTTTTTTTGTATTTATAAACTTAACAACTAATAATTAATCAAGAAAATGATCAACAGATTGATTTAAAATGAAAGAAATGGTGAATAAAGTGTCAGAAAATGCCTGTCATAGTTTCCTGCAACTTAAATTGCTGCACTTAGTTTGCTTGATTTATTTCATCAACAACCGACAAAAAAGAAAGAAAAATGTTTGGTTTATGATCACAGAAGACAAAAGAGTTGAAGATTAAATTTGTCAGTCAGAGTGTTGTCCACCTTTAAACAGGGGCTGTAGTTCCCTGATGCAGCGGCTCTAAATAAAGGCAAAAGCCCCCAAAAAACAAACAAAACAAAAAACTAGCTGCTGGGCTTCTTTTGACTTCTCGCTGTTAGAAGCTGTTTCCTGGAAACACCCACTAGCTGTTAGTGTTGTGTTGCTGTGCGTTAAGGTAGAGGCGGGCTGCTGCTGGTTTCGCCAGCGGTTCTGAACACCTGGTACCACTTGGACGCTTCTCTGCGGTGGATGTTATTACTGCAGTGGGCGGCTCCCACTCCAAACCCCACTGGCTCTCCTTCAGAGTAAATATAGAGCCGGCTGCCTTTAATAAGAAACCCAATCAGGTGGTTTCCTGACCCCTCGCTTACATTCATGCATTCTCAGACACTCGCGCACAGAAACAGACGATTGGACGGTCAGCAGAGGCGTTCCAGCTACATCCTCTTGTTAAACGCAGCGAGCCGGAGCCGCGACATTAGCGGTGCATCGTAGTAGAATGAGGACATTGTTTATGTGTGAATAATCCTGTTTGTGGGGCAACATGGTCACAGTCAGAGAGTGTTTGTTTGCTCTTCTGTCAGGTTTGACCCATTTCTGTGAACTCAGACGACCATCGGCTCCAAAGGATTCTGTAGATTTAGGTGAAAAGCTGCGACATAACCGAATCATTTCATAGAGAAACTAGCCAGCAGGAAGATGCACAATTTATAGAAAATAAAACCCCGCATGAAAAAGCTGTTTACTGAAAGTTTAAACTAATAGAGAAAAAAAATATATTGATTTTCCAGCACGAAATATTTCAGTCATTTCACTCTATTATCCAGAGTGAGTTGCTCAGTGAGCTTGTAAAGATTTTGTGACCCGTTGTGTTAATGAATTGCACACATTTACTGCAGTTTCACTTGAACCACCTATAAACTATGAGGATGTGAAGCTTTGGTTGGTTTTATACGCTGCTAAAATGATGCTGCTTTGGGTTTAAGCATGTTAAATATGTCTAATTGTGGCCATTTGTGAACCTTGTGACAGGACTTATCATGCTTTTCTGGCATCTGAACAAAAAATGAATCAAGAAAAACTGAATCGCCGCTCTGAATCCCAAACAGTTTCTGGCTGTTATTTGCTCCTGTCACATTTTTCCTTATTGTGGGCTCATTTTTTTTACTGCAATATAAAGTCCTGTGACGGTTTTATGCTGCAAACAGTAAAAAAACAACACACAAGTTGAATTTCTTTTCTTTCTTTTTTTTTTTTAAAGTAAAAAACCTGGAATCAACATTTTTTTTTGAAGTGTCGGCTGGTGTTACCAACACTGGGTTAAACATTCACTGTTTGTGAAATCATACATTCACCGTGCTGAATGTATCCTGCAACAACTTGCTCATCTGTTTACCACTTCTGGGCCACACTGCATTTATTGTATTGATCCAGCAGGTTGCATTTGGCTCATA